CCTGGGGGATGTGGATAGAAATCCAACATAATAACTTCATTCCACACGTACAAGAGCATGACCACAGCCACAATGGGTCCATGCACACATCACTAACAAGAAAGATTAATAACAAAATTAAATTGAGCCAAGCCATACTGGGACACCCTGACAATGCCCTTTAAATAAACCAGTTAATTTTGATGTATTTTAACATGTCCTTTGAGAAACTCCAGGGAATTTCCCAAAGCCATACTAAGCTGAAAGGTTAGGCTGTTTAATTCTGGGAAGCTTTGTCAAGCAACCAAAGGTGAACAAACAAGAAATTCCATGGAGCCGTGCCACACACACGGCATCCTCTTGTAGCTTGCAGGATGGCTCTGGACAGCCTATCCTTTGTATACTTGTACACACATCCCACTAGTGACAATCCAGCTCCCTCAGAACATGCCAGAATAATGGTATGCTAAGCTGATCCCATTTTATGAAGATTGATAGGTGCTGTTTCAGACTTCATAATTTTCCTCTATTTTAGATGTACATGTCCCCCAAAAGGGCAGTGCAGAGAAGGGCAGGTAAATATTCTGATGAATTGAATGCTACATAAAATGGCATTAATATTATTAACTGTCTATTAATATTATAAATTAAATAGTATGGTATTTATGTGACCTTCTTGTTCACACACATCATGGCATGTGTTGAGAATATAGAAAAGTATGTCTCCCGTATCAGACTGAATACCCTTATAAAAATGATCTCTAGCAGATGTAGGCTAAGGTTTTATCTTGAGTTGGCTTGATTGATTCTGAAAGTGTAACCAGTCCTTGTTATGCTATTGATAATGAAAATTGCTTTATTGGAGTCTTGTTTAATTTTGTTAAGTCTTGTTTCTGCGAAAGCATTAGTGAAACACTTGACTTTCAAGATTGATTGGGGTCACTACTATAGTTTCAACCACTAAAACATTCCCCAGAGTGAAAGAGCTTACCTTGCAGTGTCTTCCAGGCAGAATATTTTTATTTTAATCAGCAATAACAAATCTGAGTTCTCTATAATTGCTCTTACAAGCCAGACTTTATTCAGGGAGTTAAATGATAGCTATAAATATTTATCCCATCATAGTGTCCTGTTTAATATCTGACTTTACTAACAGGCTCGTGAAGCTGTGGAAATGCGTGCTCAAGTAGAAAGAAAGATGGCTCAAAAAGAAAAGGAGAAACATGAAGAGAAACTTAGAGAAATGGCCCAGAAAGCCAGGGAGAGGAGAGCTGGGATCAAAACCCATGTGGAAAAAGGTATACTATTCTCATTACTAAATTGAATTTTTGAACACTATATATCTCATTTTAGCAAATCTCTGGGTTTGTTTGTTTGTTTTACTACATACAAAAGTAGTAAGCACACATAAAGAAAATCTAGATATTTCAGAGATAGTATAGAAAGGAGAATAACATCTGCCTTACTAAGGTGAAGCAGCAGAAAGTACCAGAGTATATATTTAAAGGTGGGCTTTCAATATGGAGCTATACTAGAAGTTTTTAAAGTTCTGAGCAATATACTTTTAAAAGTCACATTATTTCTCAAAATAATAGGCTTGATTTTTTCTTATTCTAATTTTCTTGAAACTTAGAGTAATGAGATCTTCAACTGAATAATTCAGTTCCCCCACGGTAAAATAATCCAGAGGTTTTTTGTGGGGGGTTTTTTGTTTGTTTTTTGTTTTTATCCTGTAGGCTAATGTACTTCTAGTCATTAAATCTGCTAGTATTTTTTCTCTGACTTTATTTAGTAGTCTACATTAGTGCAATAATTTAATTATGGTGGGAAGACAATTCTAATATAAGAAAATTTGTGAAGGTGTTTTTTTTTTCATTAATAAATCCTAGACTAATATAAATATTCATTCTTTCATTCATTCAGTTTATATTGAGCACCTGCTATGTACAGGGTTTTCTTCCAGATACGAGGTTTTCTGCTAGACAGTGGGGGGAAGGGAGGATATAGCAGTCAACATCCGAGTGAGTGTAGATAGACAGAACAGTTAATCATGTAGTATAGTAGAAGGTAATAATTGCTATGGAGAAAAATAAAACAGGGAAGAGGGGGATAAATAGTGCCAGCAAGAGAGGGTGATCAGAATAGGCCTCAATTCTGAGATGATAACATTAACACAAAAATGAAGGAAAGGGCTGGCCCGTGGCTCACTCAGGAGAGTATGGTGCTGATAAGACCAAGGCCATGGGTTCAAATCTCTATATAGGGATGGCTGGTTAGCTCACTTGGTGAGTGTGGTGCTGACAACACCAAGTCAAGGGTTAAGATCCCCTCCCCGGTCATCTTTTTTTTTTTTTTTTTCCTTTTTGTCTTTTTTCATGACCGGCAACGGGATTGCAACCCTCGGTGTCGCGCCCGCACCGCGCTCAACCAGTGAGCAGACCGGTCTCTATATGGGATCCGAACCCTCGGCGGGAGCGCCGCCACACTCTACCAAGTGCGCCACTGGGCCGGCCCACAAAATACAGATTTAAAAATGCTGACAAGGGCTGAGCCCGTGGCGCACTCGGAGAGTGCGGCACTGGGAGCGTAGCGACGCTCCCGCCGTGGGTTCGGATCCTATATAGGATTGGCCAGTGTGTGCGCTGGCTGGCTGAGCACAGTGTGGGCAACACCACACCAAGGGTTGCGATCCCCTTACTGGTCACAAAAAAAGACAAAAAAAAAAAATGCTGACAAAAACAAGAAATATTACGAAATTAAGTACCTGAACTTTGCTTTAGTATTTTCCTTACATTTTTAGCTGTAAATTCTTTACCATCTCTTCCTATGATGATTTTGTAACATTTTCTGTAGCAAGGTTAGAAAGACAATTCAGTCTTTGCTTACCGGCCATCTTTTAAAAAAAAAAGAAATGTGAAGGAAGTAAGCCATATGGATATCTGGGGGAAGAGCATCCCAGACAGAATGATCAGCAAGTACAAAGGCACTGAGTTGGGAGTATGCCTGGTGTGCTCCAGAAAGCAGGGAGGCCAGTATGGCTGCATTGTAGTGAAAGAGGAGAGAAGGAGATGAGGTGTCATATTACTTAGGGCAGGTGGGAAGGGCAGTAGCCAGATCATGTGTGGCCCTTTAACCATTATAAGAACATAGCCTTTACTTCAAGTAACAAAGGAAGCAATTGAAGAGTTTTAAACATAGTGACATGATCTGGCATTTTTTTCTAACTTTATTGAGATATAATTGACTAGTACAAAGTGATGTTTTGATATACATATACATTGTGAAATGTTTACCACTGTCACGCTAATTAACATATCAGTCACCTCATGTAGTTTTTTATTTTGGGTGAAAACAGTTAAGGTCTACTCTCTTAGCACATTTCAAGTATACAATGCAGTATCATTAACTATGTCACCATGATTACACTGGCTCTCCAGAACTTATTCATTCTTCATAAATGAAACTTTGTACCCTTTGACCAACATTTCCCCTAATACACATTTTTCTTTTTTTTAAAAAGATGACCAGTAAGGGGATCTTAACTCTTGACTTGATGTTGTCAGCACCACGCTCTCCCAAGTGAGCTAACCAGCCATCCCTATATAGGGATCCGAACCCGTGGCCTTGGTGTTATCAGCACCACACTCTCCCAAGTGAGCCATCTAGCCATCTCTATCTATATAGGGATCCGAACCCGTGGCCTTGGTGTTATCAGCACCACACTCTCCCAAGTGAGCCATCTAGCCATCTCTATCTATATAGGGATCCGAACCCGTGGCCTTGGTGTTATCAGCACCACACTCTCCCAAGTGAGCCATCTAGCCATCTCTATCTATATAGGGATCCGAACCCGTGGCCTTAGTGTTATCAGGACCACACTCTCCCAAGAGAGCCATGGGCCGGCCCTCCTAATACATATTTTTAAAAAGATTACTCTGCTGTGTTAAAAATAAAGACTGTGGAACGGGTATGGATAGTAGCAGGAAAACTATTTGGAACTCTATTACAATAAACCAGATGAAAGATGATAACAAGAGGTAGTGAGAAAATGGTCAGATATTGGATGTATTTTTGGAAGAGGAGCTGACAAAATTTGCTTATGGATTAGGTAGAGGTATGAGAGGAAAAGAGAAGTCAAGGATGACTCCAGAACTTTTGACTTGAAAAGAATTAAGTTTCCATTTACTAATATTAGGAAGACTTCAGGTTTGGGAGGGAAAACTAGGTTAGTTAAGGACATGTTAAGTTTAAAGATGGAGGTGTCCAGCAAGCAATTGGTTATAGTTTTTTTAGACTTCAGTTGTACGGAAGTAACCAAGGTTGTATGTAATGATCTGCTTCCCTCAATCATACATGAATAAACTTGAGGCAAGATATTAGGTATACCTGCTTTTGTACGCCTAGCCACTGAAGGCAATTATAAGTAAAACTTACTGTATCTAAGTTCTCTAAACAGGTAAGAAAAAACCAACAGAATGGTTCTTTAAAAAGTAATTTTAAAAATCTGTTGTCAGATGTTAGTAAAAGCTAACATTTATTGAGTGCTTATTATGGCAGGTACCACTTTGAGCACTTTACATGTATTACTTCATATACTCCTTACAACAACATTATGCAGTGGTATTATTATTGTCACTCCTTTACAGAGGAGGAAACTAAGGCTCAGAGTGGTGAAGTAACCTGGACATTGCTAACTTGTCATAGAAACAGGAATTGAATCTATAGACAGTCTGGCTCCAAAGCTCATGCTCTTAACTACCCTGTATCCCCTCAGGCTGATGAGCGTAGAGAAAATAAGGATAGACATAAATGCAATATAGATCAAGATACAGCCAGCCCTATGTGCCATGAGCAAAATGTTCTTTGTGCCATGAGCAAAAGGTTCTTTGTGCAATAGAATCTCGAAAATATAAGGGAAAACTTGTGCATAATTTTTTTCCTGACGTTTTATTATGAAAATTTTCAAACATACAGAAAAGTTGAGAGATTTATATAATGAACACTCATATCCCTACCACCTAGATTCTACAGTTAATATTAACAATTAACGTTGCTAAATTTGCTTTATTACGGATCTACCTATCTCTCTATCCATCAGTCCAACTTAATACTCTGATGCATTTTAAAGTAAGTTGAAGACAGCAGTGCACTTTACCCCTAAACATGTTAGCTGTATGCATGATTCTGGAATTCACATTCAAAAATCAAACTAATAGTATTTATTGGATTTAAATTAATTGCAGGTAAGGTTAAAAAGGCTGAATGTGACTACAAAGTTCATGTAATTTTCTGTCAAAGGTAAAGAATATTCTCCCATTCAAAAAAATATTAGATAATATAGTGATGAAGTCATTTTCAACTGTGTCCACACAGAGGATGGGGAGGCACGTGAGCGGGATGAAATTCGGCATGATAGGCGAAAAGAAAGACAGCATGACCGGAATCTTTCCAGGGCAGCTCCTGATAAGAGGTAGGTGCTATTTTTGAGATAAATACAAATTGTAAGGGTGGACTTTTTGTACCTTTTAGAGCAGAGTTTTAATTCACTAAGATCAGTTTTTCTCCTTTCATCTTTAGTTTGATAACTTAATAAATTATCACTTAATTCCCTTGCCCTTAAGTACTTTGTCTCAGCAGAATTGACTGTCCCTGGAAATAATCTTTTCTTCCCTCATCTTGGAGAGTCAGTTAGAGTGGAAAATGATGGGGATACAGAAAAAGGAATTCAGATCATGTTTGTGAAAAGGAGTGAATGGGACTGTTCTGGTCTGTTCTTTTCCTGCTTCAAATGGTGAGACAAATTGATTTGTACCTATTCCTCTGGACAAGAAAAAAGGTGCTCTTACTGGACTCAGGTCCGGCTGCCTGCCCCTTTGAAAAGGAAAGAAAAAAACTCAGGAGTCAAATGGTTGGTGTTGGAAAAGCAGATGTATTCAGCTGAAAGAGATGGTAGGCTGCCCCATCTCAAAGATTTACATTTACTGAGGGGTTTTAAAGGAAGGGTTGCGGGAATGGAATGTGGGAGGTGAAAAAGCAGGAAAGCAGGAGATGTGAGTTACGAGGGTTCCATGTCTGTGAGCCAGGTACAAGGTCTCACCAAGGCCTCATCTGGTTTCTGTTCTCATCTTCGCTGTTATCTCAGGACCCTGCAAGATTTTGATTTGCGCCAGGGTACTTGACTAGTGCCCAAGGTCAGCTTCAGTCATTTGGCCTTGATCATTTCTCAAAACTCTATAAATCTCAAAGAAAGAACTGTTAGCTTTGCAAAGTACTAATTAGCTTACTGGCCTTGTTTTCCTGCTTAGCGAGCAAGATAAGAAAGTCAGGGGATGGGAAGCAGGAGTGGAGAGAAAAAAACTGTCCTTTTTAAAATCCTCCCCCTGATCTGCAGCCCAGGCAGCTTTAGGTCCCAACATGGCTTCAGTCCTGCTCACTCCAACAGTGCCATCCATACCTTTATTGAGATCCTTTTATAGACAAAGTACTACACCTAGTACAATGAGGGAGAAGAGCAGGTTTTGAAAGAAGTGAAAGTTTAGCTCCTCATGTTCAGTTTATCTTAAAATTCAGAAGGAGCTATCATGTAAAATAATTTGGGAAGATTTACAAAGCACTCTTTATAAGTACAGACTTGTAGGGAACAAACCAAATACATGTGTGAGGACAGAGAGTAAAATAGGGATTGGGGAAGTTTGTGGTTAACCAAAGGCTGAAGACTGAAATTGGTGAAAAGTTGAGGAAGTGCTATAATACGGAGGTGGAATTCTGAGTAAGGGTTAAATGCAAATATAAAACATTTTCCTCCCAAATGAATAGTTTTCCATGCTCTGATCATCCTATGAGCTGAAACAGTCCATTTTTTCAAGTCATATCTTAAACATGAAAAAGAAGATTCCTGCTGGTGGTGTTCTTTGTTGTTTAATTGGTGTGTTTCATCTCCTTGGATAAGTAAAATCATGGAGAAGCAGGGAATCTGAATTTAGAGTTGTGGGCAAATGTAGAATGTAAAAGAAAGAGGAATGAAGTGTGGTGAAAGTGTTCAATTAATGACACTGTTGAAAATTCCTAAAATATAAAAATTAAAATGGCTCTGTAGATCACTTGGGTCCTTAACACCAATAAGTGGCTAAGCTGTAAACCTGTGATTGAATGAAAGTCAAGTTGACTATAGAAATCATTTTAAGACCTGAGCTTCTAGTATAATAAGGGATGAGTTACCATGGTTTCACTGGGATGTAGACTGCATACATACTGAAACCATAGGGGAATTAAATTAATCTGAATGTTGAAAATCGTACTGAGTAATCCAATCATTGGCATGTTTTCCTCAAAATTCTAGGATAAAATTACTAAGCGTAGGGCCGGCCCGGTGGCGCACTGCTACAGTGCGCCGCTTGAGAGCGCGGCAGCGCTCCCACCGAGGGTTCGGATCCCACATACAGACCAGCCGCTCACTGGCTGAGCGAGGTGCAGGCGCAACACTGAGGGTTGCGATCCTGGTGCCGGTCCCGGTCCGGTACGGGTGCGACACTGAGGGTTGCGATCCGTTGCCGGTCACGAAAAAAAGACAAAAAGGAAAAAAAAAAATTACTAAGTGTAGTTAGGTAAAAACGCTGATTCTAGCTTATTGAAAATGATTGATGTGATGCATCTAATATTTATCTACTTCTGCGCACTGCTACAGTGCGCCGCTTGAGAGCGCGGCAGCGCTCCCACCGAGGGTTCGGATCCCACATACAGACCAGCCGCTCACTGGCTGAGCGAGGTGCAGGCGCAACACTGAGGGTTGCGATCCTGGTGCCGGTCCCGGTCCGGTACGGGTGCGACACTGAGGGTTGCGATCCGTTGCCGGTCACGAAAAAAAGACAAAAAGGAAAAAAAAAAATTACTAAGTGTAGTTAGGTAAAAAGGCTGATTCTAGCTTATTGAAAATGATTGATGTGATGCATCTAATATTTATCTACTTCTCCAACCCCCCCCAAACCCTCATATAATAACACCAAATATAGGCCATAGCAATTTCATATCTCAGTATGGTTGTAAGGTAATTGCTTGTATTAAAGAATTTCATGTCAAGGGCCGGCCCGGTGGCGCACTGTGCTAGTGCGCCGCTTGGGAAGTGCGGTTGCGCTCCCGCCGAGGGTTCGGATCCCACATACAGACCGGTTCCCGCTCACTGGCTGAGCGAGGCGCGGGGGCAACACCGAGGGTTGCGATCCCGTTGCCGGTCCCGGTCCGGTGCGGTGTTCTTTTGAGCTAACAGTAAGTCTCATGGTAAAACCCCTGCCTCCTCTAAACATGTATCGGAATGCTGTAAAAGTTGCCAACCTGATTATGCATTATCGGGGAATATAACTTTACAAGATGTGAACAAGATATATTCATTTCCTTTGCTTCTGAGCTTGATTGTATTTAAATTGAGTATATTCAGCTTGCCTGTACAGAGCTTTTCAGTTAATGACATTGTATTTAAAAATAGGTCAAAACTACAGAGAAATGAAAATCGAGATATCAGTGAAGTCATTGCTCTTGGTGTGCCTAATCCTCGGACCTCCAATGAAGTTCAATATGATCAAAGGCTCTTCGACCAATCCAAGGTACAAGGAGTTTAGAAACAGCATATCCTGCATGTTGATATGAATACCTATCTTCAGGGAAAAGAAAATTAACTTATCTTAGATTTGGATCAGGCTAAGGTTTGCTGGCATGATGACAGAAAAAAAAAGGAAGTTGTATGTTGTAACTTCAGGCAAGTAAGATGAAACAGTTCTGATCTTATACATAGCTAAAATTTGAGATTCTGGTAGAAAATGAAAGAAATTATGTGATAAAACTTGGATCTGATATATCAATCTTTTGTTTCTAAAATAGAGCCACTGTCCTAGAACAGTATGTCTTGGGGTTTTTTTGTTGAACTTTGGATTTTTTTTTTTTTAATGCTATAGAAACATGTCAGCTTGTTTGGGGGCGGGGAGAGAGAGAAGAGAGAGACACAGAAGGAACTTCAAAAAGTTCATGGAATGAATGGTTTGCATTATCTTTCAATACTATTTTTTCATGAACGTTTTGAAGTTTGAAGTGCCTCGTGTGTGTGTGTGTGTGTGTGTGTGTGTGTGTGTGTGTGTGTGTGTGTGTGTGTTTAGAGAATAGAGAAGTATAAGTTCTACTGGGATATAAAATAGAGGGGGAAAGTTACTTATGACTTGGAGGTTTTAGGAATATTTGAAGGTAGCATTTGTGTAAGCTCTTCCAAATAATAATAATAATGATAATTTGTTAGGTACTTTTTATATTCCCAGCATTGTTCTTAAGTCTTTTTACTTATCTCACTTAATACTTATAAAAACCCTGTGAAGTCATACTGTTGTTACCTCTATTTTATTTTATAGATGAGGAAATTGAGACAGAGAGGTTTAGCTAGTAACTGATGGAATTAAGGTTTAAACTTGGTGCCGAAGAGATACGTGTAGTCCAATGTTTATTGAAGCTCTATTAACAATAGCCAAGAGTTGGAACCAGCCCAGATGTCCATGATCAGATGAGTGGATAAGGAAACTGTGGTATATCTACACAATGGAGTACTATTCTGCTATAAAAAAGAACAAAATACTATCATTCGCAACAACATGATGGACTTAGAGAAAATTATATTAAGTGAAAAAAGTCAGGCACAGAAAGAGAAATACCACGTTCTCACTTATTTGTGGGTGCTAAAAATAAATAAATACATAAATAAACACACAAGCAAATAAAGGGGGGAGGGAAGACAACACAACAATCACAAAAATTCCTTGAACTTTTTAAGTCAAGTGCACAGATGTGATGTGGTGGGGAGGGGTGGGGGTGGAGAGGAATGGGTAAATGGGCATGAAAATCAACCATAATGTATATTGGGAAGTAAAATAAAATTTTAAAAAATTAAAAAAAAAAAAAAGATTTAAACTTGGGTGTCTTAATTCCAAAGCTTTGTTCTTAACTGCTATGCAATGGCAACTTACCAGTCTGAACAAAGAGAGTTAGGGATGAAAGTTCCACAGAAGTAAATATTTTTAAGACAATCACCTGTTACAGATGTAAGCTTAAAGCATTTAAAAATTGTGATGAAAATGTTTCCATCATTTCTTGTGGATTTTCATTGAGAGCCTTATTTTCTTAAGCTGTAATAGTTATGTTCTCAGGCAGTGAAGGGATATAACATTTCTTACTCTAAATGGCATCAGAGAAATGGTTTACAGTGCTTTCCTCTTGCCACCATGTCCATACAAATTGGAATTGTCAAGTGCCTGCTTATAACGGCATCCCACAATTTTAATGACTACTTCATTAAAATAGTCAAACTTGTTAATGAGTACCTTATTTAATCTAAGCCCTTGGGTAAAGACCCAAAGGTGATATGAACAAAAGTTTATGTGCTTTGTGAAAGTTTTTTAACGAAGACCTTTTTTAAATTTGCAGTTCAGATTGTTGAAAATGTGAGCTATAAGTGAGCAAGGGTTTACATTTTACATGAATGTAATCATTTTCAGTTTTTAATAATGTACACATTTTTATCAAATGTCAAATATTTTTCCACAGGGTATGGACAGTGGATTTGCAGGTGGAGAAGATGAAATTTATAATGTTTATGATCAAGCCTGGAGAGGTGGTAAAGATATGGCCCAGAGTATTTACAGGCCCAGTAAAAATCTGGACAAGGACATGTACGGTGATGACCTAGAAGCCAGAATAAAGACCAACAGGTACAAAGCCAGATAGTTTCTCAATTTCAATGTTTATACCAGCGAAAACAAAGTAGTTCATAGTCCTTTCTCTTTTTCCCTAGATTTGTTCCTGACAAGGAGTTTTCTGGTTCAGACCGTAGGCAGAGAGGCCGAGAAGGACCAGTTCAATTTGAGGAAGATCCTTTTGGTTTGGACAAGTTTTTGGAAGAAGCCAAACAGCACGGTGGCTCTAAAAGACCCTCAGATAGCAGCCGCCCCAAGGAACATGAGCATGAAAGCAAAAAGAGGAGAAAGGAATAGATACACATCTCTTCAAAGTAAATGAACTATTATCCAGAACCCAAATGATGCAAGTCATAAGGGGGAACACTTTGTAAATGTTCAGGATGAAACCAAATCTGCATGCCAGATTCCAGTGCTACTTTTTATTATGGGAGAAAGGGGGGATAGAAAATTCTACTTGGAATTATTTAGTTTTTTTAAAGAGTGGGTTGTTTGTGCTTCTTCTGCCTTTTGACATTTATAGAACATACTGCCCCACACACGAAATTAAGACCACTTCCTTTTGTGTGACACTAGTAGTTTGGGGTTGATATTTTAAGAACTGCTTATGAATAAAGTCACACCACAATGAGTAGGAACATGTTCACATATTGGAAGTGTCCTGCCAAGTGAATTTTACCCCCATTGAGCTCTGTTTTAATTTGGAGTGGGGAAAGTAAGCTCTTGCTTGGTGCAACTATTTGTTTCAAATAAAAACATTTAGACAAAATCCTGTTATGTTTACTTTATTTCATAGGCAGTAACAGTCTCAAAAATCTCTTTCTTCATCAGATGTTTGATCCCCCGGCAAAACTTTTGGTTTTTGAGCTTGTACGTGGAGCTGAAAAAAAATTAAACACTGTGAGGAAAGGCAATGTCTGCAAAAACATTAAAACTGAAAATTAACATTTAAAGATTGCCTTTTTATTAGGGAGTCAGCACCAATAACTCAAGATGTTGTTATTTGTTCCTTTTTCTTCTTAAGACCCCCTGAACTTCAAATTGTAAATCAATTTGGCCCAAGATCACATAGTAAATGGGGAAGCCAGCGTTTCAACCCAGTTTGCCTGATTTGAAAGTGCTGTTTCCACTCTTCTATGTTATATATCCCTTACCAACCATTAAAGGGTCCTCCTATACTTCCTTCCCCAGGTCTTTTTTTTTTTTTTGTCTTTTTTGTCTTTTTCCGTGTCCGGCAACGGATCGCAACCCTCAGGGTTGCCCCCGTACCGGACCGGGGACCGGCAATGGGATCGCAACCCTCGGTGTTGCTCCCGCACCTCGCTCAGCCAGTGAGCGGGAACCGGTCTGTATGTGGGATCCGAACCCTCGGGCGGGAGCACCGCCGCGCTTCCCAAGCGGCGCACTATCCAGTGCGCCACCGGGCCGGCCCCCCCAGGTCTTTTAAAACTGGGCAGTATACCACCACTCTTTAACAAGCACTAAGGCAGCTTCAACTACAAATCTCTGTCCCTGTCATTCCACACTTGTGGCCTTTTCAATTGATACACAAATTGATATACAGAAACACATTTACCTTTACTCCATCAATAATATGACTTTCCTGCTGTAGTACATTCTGAAGTTCTTCTTCTGAAGAAAAGTGAATCCAACCCATACCTCTGTGAAAGCCAGTCTCTTTGTTCTAAAAATTCAAAAATAGGAAAAGATTAATCATGAACTTGAAGTTTCCATGAGCTCCAAATCAAACTACCAAATTTTTCATCTGCCAAAATTGGATTACAAACAATAAATGTCTGTGATACATGTGCCTCATTGTTTTAATCACCTATATAAAATTTAATTGTATCAATGACATCTATTTAATCAATCCCACTAATGAACACTTTTTTCCAGTTATTTGATATTAAGCAATGTTGCTTTGAATATTCTTGAGCACTGATTTCTGTAGGATAAATTCCTAGAAATGGAATTGCTAAATCAAAGCAAATGCAAATTCCTAATTTTGATATTTTGCCAAACTACACTTCAGAACTGAAAGTACCAGTTAAACTTCTCAACAACCTGAGTGCCAGTTCCCTACACCTTCACCAACACTAGATATGAGTAATCTGTTAGATCTTTGGAAGTCAAGTAACATTAAATCAAGACTTAAGAACATAACTTCCTTTAGGTTGATATTTCACCTTAGCTTTTCAGTTCCATGAGAAAAGTGTGGTTTCAGTAAAGCATGTGTAAATTGTATTTGAACTTACATTATACCCAAAAAAGACCATTAATTCTAGAAAACCCACAGAAAATATAACCCAGGACAAAGAAGAAGAAATTTATAGATTTGTAGACCTGAAAAAGCAAAGGAAAAGAAATTAAGAATACTGTTTTATTAGTTATAAATACTAAAAAAATAAAGTGGCACTCAATGAGGGTGAAACTAAAAATAGACATTCTCTGCCAACTAGTTTTATGATAAAATTATCCTCTATCCCAAGTCCTTAACAGAATATTATACTAGGCAGAACTGTAAGATGACCCCATGATTTCCATGCACACCCCCCCACACCATGTTATACCATCCCTAAAGTGTAGGTAGGACCTGTGACTTGCTTCTAACCAAAGGAATATGGAAAAGGTGATGGGATATCACTCCCTTGATTTGGTTTTATGGCAAGAATGATGGGGTGTCACTCCTGTGATTATGCTATGTCATATATAAGATTCTATCTTGGCAGACTGGAGAGAGAAACTCCCTAGCTGGCTTTGAAGAGGCAAGCTGCCACGTTGTAAGACAGTCTACAGAGAAGCCAGGGAACAGAGTACGGCAGGCAGTCCCCAGGAGCTGAGTAGCCTCCAGCTCAAAATGCAAATCCAAAAGCCAGCAGGAAAACAGGGACCTCAGTTTTACAGTTGAGAGATGAATTCTGCCAACAACCTCAGGGAGCAGTCTCTTTAAAAAGCTACAAAGACTGGGGAAGTCAGTCTTTCCCCAGTTGAGCCAAGATGAGACAGACCAGAGCCCCAGCTGACACGTGGATTACAGCTATGTAAGATCCCAAGGAGAGGACCCAGCTAAGCTGAGATAATAAATGAGTGGTGTTTTGAGCCATTAAGATTGTGGTAATTCATTATACAACAATAAAAAACTAATTACAAACACCTATGATAAAGTTTTTAAAAATTTTTTAATCAGGATAATACTGATTAAAAAATTTTAAAAAACGTTATCATAGGTGTTTGTACTTAGTTTTTTATTGCTACTTTAACCAATAAAGACTTTAAACAGCTTAATTCCATTAGATATTAATATAAATTTATATGCTTTGATAAAAAACAAGAATTAAAGGATAACATTAATACTTTCTTTTTTAAGATAATACTCACGAAAGGTACAATACACCTTCGTATATGACCAAACTGTGCAAAGTGTTCTCTCAGCTCACCTGTACGTGGGGAGAAAGCATATTAAAAGTAATTAATATATTTTGTATTCTGTGTCCTAGATCATAAATAGAAACCAAAAGGGGTTTTAGAGCCCCAAACTTCTTGTGGATAGGAACTACTTTGCATTTCCTTAAAGCCTTAAGATTTAGAAAGCAACTATGTTACTGACAATAAAGCTGTAATGTACCAGATTTGGCAGTCGGGTGGGGATATGGACAGATAAAATGCTGAGTTGGCTGCAGTCTCCATCCTCAGCAAACATTGAGTGTTTTCATCATACCAGGCACTACACCAGGTATGTGGTTTATAATCCCTGTGAGCAGAATACAGAAGAAAAGACAGATCATTACAATCCAGTGTGCTGTTGCCAGCTATATTAGAGATCCCCAAATATCTCAACTTACTGGTCTTTCATAATTTAAAGTTACATTAGGTTAAATAGTTAGGGCTGTAAAATTTGTTGGGTTGGCCCTACCTACCCTTTCTGCCTTATTTCCCACTGCTGGCTCATAGTTACTCTCTAGTATCTGTCCTGTGGATTCACATCTTTGCATGTGTTCTCTCCCCTTGATATGTCAGTAATCCTATCTACTCCTGCCTAAATTGTAACTATCCTTCAAGACCCAAATACATCCCCTTAGTATTATTTTATTGGGCTCCTACTGCAATACAAAAAAATGTATTAGTCCTGTGGGACCTCAAAGATTTATAGTATATAATCTTAAAGATCAAAAACTATGATCTCTTTCTTTTCTGAACTACAGTACTTTTATTTCATTGATGCGCATTTTACATTACCTGCTTATGTCTCCTAGTTCATCTAAACCTCACTGATTCAACAACTGCCTATGCAAGTAAGTCTCACCCCACCACTACACTGTTAAGCTCCCCAACTATAGAAACCACTGTTTACAGTCTCTGATACACAGTAGAGCCTCAATATTGGCTGAATGAATACATAAATGTCCAGTAATCCTTCAATAATCCAGAGACTAAGTTTCTTTTTCTTCTTTTTTCTTTTTTTTCTTTTTTTTTAAAGATGACTGGTAAGGGGATCTTAACCCTTGTCTTGGTTGTGTCAGCACCATGCTATCCCAAGTGAGCTAGCTGGCCATCCCTATATAGGGATCCAAACCCATGGCCTTGGTGTTATCAGCACCACACTCTGCCAAGTGAGCCATGGGCTAGCCCCAGAGACTAAATTTCTGAAATTAATGGTTGGTCAAACCAGTTGGCAATGTCAGGGATCTCACAGAACATGATACTAGAGAATAAAACATGTGTAACATGTTTTAAACCAGGTATTAAAAGTTCTAGAAAACATTTACTTCCAAAACAAACCAGCTCTGGACATATAATTGTTCGACAGAAACAGCTGCAAGCAACAAGAACAATGCCTACCACATAATAGATACTCTCAATATTTGCTGAATAAATGAATGAACTGAGAAACTGTTTCAAAGTTGTATGTCAGGTAGACTCTTTTTAAGAGTTTTAAACCAGCCCTTTATGGTCTTGAAACTTGCATCTGAATGATGCTAGTGAAACCCCTCAACCTTTCCACAAAGTTTCACAGGGCCTAAAGGAGAATTTTTACTGGGCTTGGTCTTCACCAACCAAATACTGAGAAGATGCGGCACAAACCAATTTTACCTCCCACCCTGCTACTCACATCTGAGTCACAAAAACTTAGAGGAGAGGGCTGGCCAACTAGGCCAGTTGCTTAGACCACAATGTCATTACACCAAAGTCAAGAGTTCAGATCCCCTTTCCAGCTAGCTACCAAAAAAAGAAAAAGAAAAAAAAAAACTAAGCAGAGAATAATCCTGCTCTGTATTTTTGTTTAAGGGGGCTGGCCTGATACATATCTACAAAAAAGTTACAATGAATTTTTAAATTTTGGTAAGCAAATACAAAAACCTTATCTCAAAACTGGAGCTGAGAAAAATCAAAGTTGGTGCGAGATTTCAGAATTAATTACCCAACCCTCTAGCTCCAGACTAGGCATCTCCCATGAGCTGCAATTTTAGTAATCATGAAAATTACATTTGTTGAGCACTCACACTGTATTCAGCACAAGTCTAAGACGTTTACATATAAACTCATTTAAGCCTCTCTACAATCCAATGAGGTAGGTATTACTGATTCTATTACGTAGATGACTAGGGGCAAAGCTGTGAGCCCTTTTCCCATATTATAACTTCAGTAACTCAGGTTATATATACAACAATTAAATGGCCGAATTGGAATTCTAACCCAAGTTGTCTGGCTTCAGAGTCCACTTCTCAATCACAATGATATACAAGCTCTCTGTCCAATTGCCTTAGGGAGGCCTCACAAGCTTTCAACCTCAACGCCTTCAAACTTTACTACTCATCTTCTCTAGGCCTGCTCCTCCTCAATTCTAACCGCCTAAGTCACCAATGCTAAAAGCCAGGAAATCATTCCTCCCCTCCCCTCATTCCGTACTCTTCCCCCACTCGGGCCATCACGAAACGCCGTCGATTTTGTTTAGGTAACAGAAGTGGATCTGATTCTCCCCCACTCCCGTCCTAGCTCAGGTCCTCATCTTTGAACCAAATTACTGAAATTGAGGGATGGCCGATTAGCTCAGACGATTACCGCGCGGTGCTTTAAGACCAAGGTCCAAGGTTCCATCCCTGTACCAGCCGGCAGACGAAAAACAAAACAATTACTGAAATTGCCTTTTAGTCGTCTCCACGCTCGTCGCCTACAATCTGGCCACCTTGAATGAATGCATCCTCCACACCGTAGTCAAAAGAATCACCTCTAAGTCGTAAACCTTAAAGCTATCGAGTAATAAACCTTTCCACCAAATCACTCCGAAAGGCAGGAGACCGTGAATTCGGCATCCCTAAACGGTTATTGCAAACAAAACTTATTTCTGCTCACTGGCCTGCTCAGGAGCAAACTCAAGTCTCCTAATCCAGCCACCACGCTGACCTAAGTGTTTTGCAGAAAGCAGAGGTTTTGAGGGTCGCTTGGACCTAGGAATTCCGCCCTCCCATATCTCCATCACTCACGCGACGCCGCAGTCCAAGGAATTTCTTTGACGAAAGCAACGGACCGCTTAATAGACTTACGCACTGCCATAGAACCCCCTACTGCTAGGGCCGCCATCTTTAGACTGGAGGATCTCTGTGACCTGGGATCGCGACCCCGGAAGAACTTGCCGGATTTGGAACATGGGAATCTGCTTCCGGGGCGGAGGCCTCAGCAGCGAGATGGGAAAGATGGCGGCCGTCGTGAACTCTATGGCGACTTTGGCGGCAGAGCCTGGGGAGGACGCGTTTCGGAAACTTTTCCGCTTCTACCGTCAGAGCCGGCCCGGGACCGCAGACCTGGGAGGAGTCATCGACTTCTCGGCCGCCCACGCAGCGCGCGGCACGGGTCCTGCTGCCCACAAGGTACGGAGAGAGGAGCGGCGCACGCCTCCCCATTGCCTCACCTCGCTCCTTGCAGGGGCTTTCATGTTCTTCTCGCCTGTTTTCGCCTCCAGATCGATTGTTATTGAGCGACCCCGTCCTCCTTGGGCGCGGAGTCGAACTGTCCACCAGCCGTCGTACTTTGGCGATAAAGCACTGTGCTCCTGGTTTCGTCATGCGGCCATTCCCGATGGCAGGCCCGGTCAGAAAAGCCTGGGAAGTGGCATTAATTCCTTCCTTTAACTGTCCACTTACATTTCCACTTTGGTTTATGTAAAACGCTGCATAATGTCTTCGTAGACGTTAAGATAGAGCTCTGCAGCTTGAAAAAACTCAACTACTGGGTCATCCCAGTAGTGAGAGGGATCCGAGGTTGTTGGTTAAGCTGCTGTACTTAAAACTAGCCCGTCTTCTCTGGGCCTTTTAGAAAGAGTTCACTGGAGGATTTTGGGACAATCTCTGCACGTTTAAAATAAATGGCAAACGAGTGTATATAAAATCCAAGCACCATTCCTTAGTTTTACTTCTCCTCTTGGAAATTAGAAAGGGGTAAATTAATAATGGGAAGGAGGAGATACGGGGGTGGCGGGACCACACCTATAGTGCAGTGTATATTTTCTTTACAATCGCTTTAACATTGAGGATTTAAATGAAATCCCTTAATTTGCCCTTGGTGTTGTCCACAGATAACAAGATGAATCATTCTTTCCAAGCTTCGTAATAGCCCTGAAAAAATTGGAGTGTTGGAGTAACACTATACTTGTCTACAACTCAGCTCCTCAGCAACTTCATTTGTTAACAAAAATTCTGTTAGAGTTGTCAAAATAACATACAGGAAACTTACCACCCCAAGAATAATATCTCAGGAGGACCCTTCAGACCCTCATTTAGCTCATTTTACCTGTATTGTACTATAATACATTGTTTTAGAATGTAAACCACCTGAAAACAGTGTATGTCTAGTACCTAAAACAGTCAGCACTCAGTAAACGTTGAATGCATGAAAGCTTGGGTGTTTAGTTTCCCAGCTCAAAGCAGATTAAAAAGTAGCAAATTAGAGAAGTTGCTATTACAAGACAGGTGATGAGAGCAGTGGGAAAAGTGATGGCTAACAGTCTGGTAAGGGGTGAAGCAGAGAAGCTTTTTTAAAAGCTGAGTGTTTGGTTTAGTTTAGCATATCATAGAATAGGTCTACAAATGTATTTGAGCTCTCAGGGTGTTGCTGAATTATATTGAGTATGGTCTCTTTAAGAAATCATGAAAACTATTTGTAGTTTTACCAGCTCGTAGGTACCTGGAAAACTCAGCTGATTGGAACTCAGAGAGGTCCAGATAGCCATTTTATTGTAGAGACTGGTTATATACCAGCCACTTGATATTTTTTTCTGGAGAAGTGGCTGGTATATATCTCCACACTTGGAGAAGTTGACAGGATAAAAAATCATATCTTTTTGAAAGAGGATATTTGATGTATTCTAAGGCAAACCAGACTCTAAGTGTATTATTAATGGAAAAATAAAGTTTTTTTTCCTGTGTCCTTACTTCAATGACTGCATATTGGGTCTCAACCAATGTAATGAGCCATCCATAAGATGCTCCTATGCAAAGAAAATTTCACCAGTCCCCGAAATACATCATTTCTAAGCAATTAGCAAAAGCAGAAGTTCTAGCATCGGTTTGATATTTCATATAAAATAAGGGCAAATACCGTACTTTAGCAAACTGGGTTTCCAATTTGTATTGAAACAGTTTGTCTTTCTGGTTACAGTACTCTATTTCCATTTTCTCACCCTCCCCAGCCTGGTGTTCCTCATAGCTCTGTTTAAACACCAACCTTATACAATTGTTTCAAAAGCATTATCATTAGACTTAACTGAGGTAAATAGCTTTGTGACTGGGGATATTCCAATACACCAAATAGCTTTCATGATTCAGTCCTATAAAAAGTCACAAAGATATGGTGTCATAGGAGAAGGTAGTCTTGAAGGCAAAATCAGCCTGCTTGGGCCGAGCCTGTGGAGCACTCGGGAGAGTGCGGCGTTGGGAGCACAGCAGCACTCCCGCCGCGGGTTCGGATCCTATATAGGGATGACCGGTGCGCTCACTGGCTGAGCACGGTGCGGCCGGTCTCAAAAAGGACAAAAAAAAAAAAAAATCAGCCTGCTTAACAGCTAATTATTTCATTTTCTCCCCCTTTGAAAGGAAGAGGCTTCAGTTGTTCCTACATGGCTAGAACAGTAATAAACAATGTACCTGTAATTTGTAACTTAAGTATTGTATGTTAGTAACAATCTTGAAGCCTTGTTTTCCAAAGTTCATTTTTTTTTTATCTGTTCCATAACTTGCACTAATTATTTTAGGTATTTTCATTATATGAAACCTACCATGTGTCAGAGATGATTTAATCTATTTAAATGTTGAACTGCTAGCAGAATTTTCACATCTCCAATAATTCAGAATTAGTAAGGAAAAAAATTCACCAGTGTTTAGTTTTATATTGAGGTGCTCAGGTTGGAATAAAGTGGTATAAAAAAGCAAAAACAAAAAAAAAACAAAATCAGCCTGCTTAAATTTTCTTATTACCACTTATCTTAATTTTGTGTAATTTTGTAGTGTTAGTATGCAGATGAGGAAACTGAGGCTCTAAGAAGTTAAGTGACACATCTGAAAGACATAAATTAAGTGGTAGAGCTAAGATTAGGATCCCAGACTTAAGACTCCTAGCTTTGCCCATATCAGAAATGTCTTTGAAGGTTTGAGGTTCCCAGAGTTGACCTGCAAAATAGCTTTAGTCCTCTGACTTCTGTTTCCTTTCTGCCAGGTGGTCAGATCTCAGCTAAGTGTGTCCTCAGTCAGTGAGCACGATTTACGTAGAGCAGGACTTCAGCCAGTCAGCAAGTGGCGAGCCTATGGACTTGAAGGCTATCCTGGTGAGTGCAGCTGGCCTCAGAGAAGGCAAAATCACTTACTCATTTGTCTAATTTCAGAGGAGGAGCTATGAGCAAGTAAATGGACAAAGGAGAAAACTAAACACACACAAATGTTACACTCCCAAACCCATTTTGAATTGTGCCTTGTCTAAGGTATCCATTTATTTAGCATTCCCAGAGGATAGAACAAGGGTCACAGTGCCTGCTTTATATGGCAGAAAGTGGCACAACAAATAAAAAAAATAAGGACATTGACTCTGGGCTTCCTGCCATTAGTCTGTACACCTACTCTGGCAGAAGAACTGCTTTAAATGATAGAACAATTTATAATTGTCACTTCAGTCACATTCTCAAATGGCATAACAACTTAAAACTGGTTGCTATCAATGCTGAACACTTAAAAAAAATTACAGTTAAAAACGTTAGGGGCTGGCCCGGTGGCGCACTGGATAGTGCGCCGCTTGGGAAGCGCGGCGGCGCTCCCGCCCGAGGGTTCGGATCCCACATACAGACCGGTTCCTGCTCGCTGGCTGAGCGAGGCGCGGGAGCAACACCGAGGCTTGCGATCCCGTTGCCGGTCCCCGGTCCGGTACGGGGGCAACACTGAGGGTTGTGATCCGTTGCCGGACACGGAAAAAAGACAAAAGACAAAAAAAAAAAAAAAAAAACGTTATAAGTTCCAGTAGACTAAATAGTCTAGAATTTTGAATTTAGTGATGTTGGGTAGTAGAGAAATTAAGATAATAATGAAGAGTGAGTAACATTATTAACGTTTTTTCAAGGCTCATGGAGCCATTGTAGATTAATTATTATAAACTATTTAGAAAATACAGAAATGCCTTATTTGGCCAAATAATCTTATATTTGCCATCCTGTGTCTTTCTAAAAGACATAAAGTTAGCATTGTACTTGTGATTTCAAATGTGGATTAAACACGAAAGAAATCTTTAAAAAGATTGTTAGTTTTTGTTGTGCCAAGGGCCAGGACTATTTATGTTACAGGTCTTAGTACATTATGACCACTGAAATATTTGTTAATAACATGGGTGGTGTAACAGCTATTGTGGTACTTCCTGTTAAAGGCCTCACGCACTTCAGTTCTATATGAAGTCGTGAAGAAAACAGTTGAATGATTACTTTTATATATGAAAGTGTCACTCTCTGTGAGTTTGAGTAATTGTTGAGCATGCATCGCCTGTCTTTTATGCAGATGTTGTCCTTGGAGGCTTTTACTTTCAACTCTAGTGCCTGATTTCAAGGCCGTGATTCTGTGTTGCTCTAGGCCTTCTTCCTTTAACTGATTATTCATATTACGTTATCATCCCCATTTCAGTTTTGTATTACCCAAACTGGTATACTTGCTTTTTAAGATTTGCTAGGATTTCCTCCTTAAGCCACATCATTTGGGTTGGTGCCTCATATCATTAGAGAATTTCTTCTGCCTTCCTTGCCATTGTAGGCTGCATTTAGTAGAAGTTTAATGTCCAAAACGTGGGAGATAACAGTCTCCTCTTACTCCAAGTTGATCAGAAGGATTGTGTTTACTTCTGAATCCTACTTATACTGAAGGAACATGAGTTACACCACAACTTGTCCTTACAAGAGTGAGCAGGAGGATAATGGGTTTGGAAACCAGAAACTTAGTCTAGGGAAGAGAAGACTTGCAGGGGACCATGACAGCAATCAAACATTTGAAACGTTATCTTAAACAAGAAGGGATGGAAAGGAATGCAGAGTAGTGGTTAAGGCATAGGTTCTGGTGCTAGGCTACCTGGGTTTATATATTGGCTCTACCATCTACTAACTATATAACCTTGGACAAGTTTCTTAATTCTCTTGGCCTCGGTTTCTTCGTGGTAAAATGTATATAAAAATAGTGCCCACCTCATAAGGTTATTATGAAGATTAAATGTGAATATACATGTAAAGTGCTTAGGTTAATGCCTCGCACATAGTAACTGCTCAGTAAATGTTAACTGTAGAGCTATAGGTATTTATCAAGAGTTAAAAACTGATTTGCTCTAGGTGTCAGAACCCAAGACCAATGCATGAAAATTAAAGGGAGGCAGATTTTTAACCCAACAAAAGGAAGACAACTTAAGTTTTCTGAAATGGACTGCCTAAAGAGGTATTAAATTTCCTGTCACTGTTGAAGCTTGGACTAGATCTGAAGTGTTCTTTCTTTACTCTGACATTTTGGGGAGTGTTATAGTATTCTTTATTTTGTGAAGTAATGATAATAGCAGATGGCAGGTCAAGGGGTTTTTTTCCATATCTTTTTTTTTCCCAAAATATTGATAGTCCTATACCACTTTCCCAAATTATATGGAGAATTTTACTGATAAATGAAATGCAAAAGCAGGAACCCCTAGTTGGGTTCCTACTGTTTGGAGATACTGTAGAGGACATATAAAGAATCAGGTTAGTGGTTAAACTAGATGACTGTTAAGATGAATGTCTATGACTGATCCTTTAAACATCTTTACTGCTCAGCCTTTTACAGTTGATTCTCTCTTTCCTTTCTTGCTGTATTTTCTTTTTTTCTTTTCTTACAGTCTAAGTAGTGGAATCCACCAATAACTTCCATTTTTTTTTTAGTGGGTAAAAATCTTTGGCTGTATGGGTTTCCTTGGTGCCAACAGGTAACTAACTTTGGTCATTAGGTTTAGTTTGGAATACATGCTATTGATGATATTAAATGGTTAAATAAGATTAATTAACTGCAATGACTAGCCTATCCTCAGTGAATATCTCTAAGCCATCTAGATTTTTTTTCATATCTGCAACTATCTGGACATAGAATTTTAAGTCCTTTTAGGAAGATTTAGTACAGCGGAGGAATCTTCATGTTATTTTCTATATATTTCTACTGTGTCAGCACAAACTCTCTTTGCTGAACAACATATGGTTTAAAATCTCTGAAATTCTGATAGTATAATATTATTCAGAGATTCATTTGTTTAGAGCATAGTATTTCTAATGCAAAGATTATAGGTTTGTTGCCATATCCTAGATGTGTGCTGTTGGCCACAAGATGGGCCAGGAGAGAGGGATGAATCAGTGAAGGAATATTACCTCTCTGAACCTCTGTTCTCTCCTCTGCAAAATTGAATTAATGACTTCCTCATGGAGTTATTGAAGATTAATGAGATAGCATAAGGTTGCTAGCACAATGGCTGACACTTGGTAGGCATCCAGTTATTTTTAGCAGCTACCGTAATTAATAACTTAAAAATAAATTTATTTATTGTTAACAGCTGTTAAACTTAATTATTGTCCTATATTTAAATTACATGCCAAAGAGAAGAGGTTAAGAGTAGTTTAGTAATATCAAAATTGTTTTTATTTTGGCCTCAGCCCAGTGTCTTTACTGTCTGTTTCCCACAGTAATTCTCCCTGAAGACATTTCCATAATATGTGCCATTATTGTTAATAGTCTAGACCAGGAGTTGGCAACTATAGCTGGGGGCCAGGCCATCACTTATTTTTGTCAATAGAATTTTGTTGGAATACAGCCACGTCTATTTATTTACCTACTACTTATGGCTACCTTCCTGCTACAGTGGCAGAGTTGAGTGCTGAAGAGACTGAATAATACTCAGAGCCTAAAATATTTACTTTCTAGCCCTTGACAGAAAAAGTTTGCTAATCTCTGTTCTCGACTAGACTTGGAGTCCAGCCAGGAATTGAAGACCTTCAAATTACTGCCAGCGTTTAACTCAGAAATCCTTATGCTTCAGTCTGTTCATCTGATTTTAGTATCCCTTTGCAAGGGGAACATTACACTAATATATAGTGATTGGCTTTTGTGTAATTTCATTGATTCCTCCTTGTTCCTCAGGACCCTGACCCAGCCATGTTCCCTCTTCCTGAGATGGCCTTGCTATTTATCTGATGGGAAAAGCTGAGTCCATCAGGAACAAATGGACTTCAGCTTCCATTGGCCCCCACACTTACAAGCAAATGTTCTCATTCCTATCTTTCAATCATACTAAAGGAAGAGGAGTTTCTTCAGTTCAAAGCCAGTTCCTTCACTTTCTTGCTCTCACTTTCTTTTACCTCTTCCAGCTTTTAAGACCTTGCTCTGTTCCTTCCTCTCCTATTTCCAAACAGGTTCCTCTGCTGGCTCTTTCTTCACAAGCTGTAAGCATGCTTAGGTCTTGCCAATCCCTGAAAACCATGAACTCCCTTCTTAATTCTTTATTCTTCTATGACTACTTCTTAGCCTTTCATAGCCAGGCTTCAAAAAGGAATTACCCATATAACTGTCTACTGTCCTGTCTCCAGGTACTTCACTTTCTCCAGACAAAATTTTTTATCTCTTTATCTCTAATTATTAAGAGAGTGCCTGGTACAGTGTGTTTTTTGAGTATTTGATGAATGAATGAATCTTTACCATGCGTGGGATTCCATTTAAATTTCATCTTTTACAAGGGTAGAAAATGAGGTTAGGTTACTGTCAAGGTCACAAAGATCTTTCCAACTCGTATGTTGTAGTTACTTGCATTGTACCATACTGAGATGAGGGCTGGCCAGGTAGCTATCTTGGTTAGAGCATAGTGTTATAACACCAAGGTCAAGGGTTCAGATCCCGATATCGGCCAGGTACAAAAATAAATTTTTTATGTAAAAAATAATAATAATTTAAGGGCTGTCCAGTTAGCTCAGTTGGTTAGAGCACAGCCTTATAGCACTGTACTGAGAAGTTGTGTATATATAAAGAATTATTAGTCAGTATTAGGAAACTGAAAAGACAAAAAGGGAACACTGAGATATCACAGAGGCAGTAACTTCAGAAAGCAGCTACCACCCCTGTGACTGGGGGGGAAAACAAAAGTGATCAGAGTTATTAAATTTAGAGGCTTGAAAGAGGAGCCACATGGAATTGGTACTTAAGCTTCTGAGGAAGGGACATAATGAGGGTGGTCCTAGTGGTGTGGAAAAACTACATTAGAACCAACTTCTGCCATCTAGTCTTCCATTAGTGCTCCCTGTAGGCACAGGTTAGCAAGGAGCCAGCTGGTGAAGAAGAAATGTAGTTGGCAGGATCCCAGCCCCACATTATGAAGTCACATATAGAAGGGTGGATTTGAAGCTGAAAAACAATAGATTCCACTCCATTCATTAGATGGTGACTCTTAAATCTCTATTTTCAGTCATTTCAGTGTAAGAGTTCAGCCTTCTATGCCTCCAGTAAATGAAATAGGAAGTGAGAGAAGTCTTAGATGACTGTAAATGGTGATACCTGCTGAAAATTAGAGGGTGGATTTTTGGCACTTTCAGTTCTAAAGTTTGCTTTGGGAAACAAAATTGACAGTCGGCCTTGTGGAGTATTTGTTTCTCTTGAATAGCCCAAAAAGCCAGAGATATTTGCCTAATGGTAGATGTCTAATATTCACCAGTACTTAGCTTTTTTTATTAACTTGAAGCATGATCAAAAGGATATGTGGAGTAAATAACAATAGTGGGTGTAAGGATGGCAACAAAAAGAAATTATCTGAATAACTGATGGAGAATTTCCCCCTCTCCTCCCTTTTTTTCCCAACCCATCTTTTGTATAGGATTTATTTTTATCCCAAACCCCTTCCTCCCAGGTTACCAGTGGCACTGGGTGAAGCAGTGCCTTAAGTTTTATTCCCAGAAACCTAACGTATGTAACCTGGACAAACACATGACTAAAGAAGAGACCCAAGATCTGTGGGAACAGAGCAAAGAGTTCCTGAGGTAAGTCTTATCAGTCAACAAAGTGTAAATACTCAGCTCAGGTCTTTGATGGAACTGTTCTGTAACAATGCAGTGAGGGTGGCTGGCCTGTTTTTTCCCTGCTCGTTTACTTACACACGAATGCAGCACAATTGTGTTCTTTCCCCGGGAACATTGGGACAGATACTCTTGACAGTTATATTAAATTGAGATTCATTTTAAAGATTTGCATATAGCTTAGATACTGAGTTCATCCTCATTAATCATCAGATCCATTTTCATTCAGCTTCATCCCTTTTTCTACTTAAAGTGAGTTCCTTTGAAGACTTGTGGTACCTTAGGAAAAAGTAACATTGAAAGCTCTTTACTTCTACTCTCCTAGATGGAGTTGATACTACTAGCTGTTTTATGGTAGGTCAGTTCCTAATGAAAAGAACTAATATTTGAACCTTCATGTTATTTCAACATTTCATTTATTCATTTCACAAATATTTATTGAGGGTCAGTTGTGTACCAGGCATGATGCTAGGCATTGGAGACACAAAGATAAATAGGATACTCTCCCTGCATTCAAGAGTGTATAGTCTGTGGCAAGAACTCAGTATCTACAGGAATAATTACCATAGAACTCAGAAAGTGTTATGACGGGGTTTTGTAAAACACTGTGAGGGTACAGAAGAGTATATAATTCTTCCAGGCAGAATAGAGGTGTCAAAGAAGAAAAAATGTTTTTTTTAATTGGGTCTACTATTCTCTTTTTTTCCCTCTGTCCATTTGAACTGATCTTCAAAAATGATTAGGAGAGAGAAATCAAAAATGATTTCTGGTAGAGAAAGCAGTCTGAGCAAAGATGAAATACTGAGGATAGAGTAAGTTGTCCTGTGAGATGGGAGCACAGGATGTGTGCATTCATATGTTCAGCAGCTATCTAAGTTTCTGCTGTGTGTCAGAGACAGTGCTTGAGTGTTAGAGACTCAAAGACACATAAGAAACAGTTCCTGCCTTCAGGAAATTTGTAATGTAGTCAAGGACAGAGACATATATACAGATACTTGGGTATAGTTTGTCAGGTACAGGGATTGAGTTTATAAAGTATAATGGACATGGTCACTTAAGTGGCTAGGTTGGGGATAGATTATGGAAATGCTTCCTGGAAGTCATGGATTGGGCTGGCAAAACATGAAGTGGAAAAGTTGAGTTAGGGCCAAATTGTAAAGGGTTTAGTGATGTAGAAGCTCTAGTTCTGGAGTCAGATTGCCTGTGTTCAAATCCTGGCTCTGCCACTTACTAGCTGTGTAACTTGAGATACTTTCTAACCTTTCTGCACCTACCACTAGTCCTTTCCTTATTGAACAGTGTGAGGATTAAACAAGGTAATATGGGAGCAGTTCTTAAAACTGCCTGCTAAAACCATTGTACCAGCTTTGTGTCCTGTTTAGTCTTAAATGGCCCCAATGATGCAGTTTTCAGAAAGTGTCATACTAATTCCAACAGGGGAAATAGAAGATTTTCTTAAGTTGAAAGGGGAAAGGAAAACTAAAATTCAATAGTTTTTCTTTAATACCGCCTTTTTTAATTTTTTTTATCTTTTTTAAATTTGGACGGCTGACTGGTGCAATGATCCAAATCCTTGACCTTGGTGTTATAACACCACACTGTAACCAACTGAGCTAACCAGCCAGCCCTAAAGCCTTCTTGTTCTATAAGTTATGGTATAAGCAGAAGCAGTGAAGAAAACCCTATTCTTAAGCTTTTAATAATGTCTTCTTTAGAACTGAAAGCAAAGTGAAGGAAGATCATGGTTAAAAGAGCTTATTGTTATTAAACCAGTCTGTGTTTTCAAGTAATTGACTTTTTTCTTCTGGCATACGATTCTGCAGAAATCCTAGCTGTCTTCTTCTAAGATAGCTTGGATGAATCTCTAATAAATCAACCTGTAAACAATGGTGAGATACTTTTTTTTTTTTTTGGTCTAATAAATTAGCAAAAATAAAAAATGATGGTCATACCTTATGTTGTCAAAGGTTGGAAGAAATTAATATGCTCAGACATTATGCTGATGGCCCTAGTTCTCGTTCTGTCACCATGTGATATGTGTTTCAGTTTCTTCGTGTGGGAAATGAAGGTATTAGACTGGGTAAGCCATTCAAGGTGGTTGAATCATGGTCAGTCAGAGTCATGTAGACAGTACATGGCAGGTCTCCCCACCTTCCCAGTGCCTGTCAGAAAGGGAAAGGGTCCGTTGTTCAAAAACCTTTTCCTGGAGATTCTGATTAGCTACCATAACATCCTCTCACATTGAGAACCACTGAACTAACGACCTCTAAGCATCCTTTCAATATTTACTTTCTAGAGTTCTGTCGTCAGGGAAGAAAAAAACTTTAAGTAAGAAATGAAGGAGAAATACTTGAGCTTAGAAGCAAAAATAGAATGTTCACAAAATCAGAGTACCTCAGTTCTATGTTTTGTTCAAAGTGAATAGTTTAGCTAGAGGTTTTTGTACAAGAGTACAATAGGTAGGTGCAAGCATCTTCTTTGCAGCATTGTTTATAACAAAAAAAAATAAGCAACAGCCTAAGAGTCCATCAGCGGGAGACCAGATAAATCAAGTACAGTATATCCCTGCAGTAGAATGTAGCCATTATGCAGCCTTTAAAAAACCTTAAATCCAACCCTCTAACAGATATAGTAGGCTTTATAAATAAAAATAAAATTAACCATTTATCACCATCACAACCAGTTTATTCTAAACCACTATAATTTCTTTTTCTTTTTCTGTTTTTTTGGCAAATGGCTGGTACAGGGATTCAAACCCTTGACCTTGGTGTTATCAGCACCACACTCTAACTAAGGAAACTAACCGGCCAGCCCTTATTTCTTATTTAGAATACTGCAGTAGCGTCTAATGAGTCTTCCTGTGTCTGTTCTTACCACTCTTTAGTCTGTTTTCCACACAGAGTCTAGAAATCATGTCATTTTTCTTATAGCTTCCCATCTTCAATCATTCTGATGTAAATTGCCCAAAGTTAGCACTGACTCCACAAGTTAGGGGCACAGTCCCAAATAAGACTACTTTTTCTTCAGTCACCAGCCACAAGCTTGGGGGTGTCCACAGGCTACCCACACAACCCTATAATAACATGGTTGGATTATGTCTTCCAGCATGACCAGCCAACATCTTGAATCATCTCTTTAGCATAAACTCAGGTGTGGTCCAAAGGCCCACCATGACTAACAGTGCCACTCCTATCACTTAGGAAATTCCAGGGGTTAGGATCTCCGTCCCAGGAGCCACGGACAAAGACCAGGCAAATTCTTTGTTATACAATATCACATTCAGAAAAAATCTAAAGTCTTTACCATGACCTACAAGGCCTAGGTGGTCTGGCCCCCAGTTACCTCTCTAACCTCATTTTCTACCATTCCTGTTCATTTGTTCTCTAGCCACACAGGTGCTATTTCTTTTTTTTTTTTTTTTTTTTTTTTTCAGGTGCTATTTCTTAAACACATCAGGAATACTCAGATTCTTTGTACAAGCTCTTCCTTCTACCTCCGAAGCTCTTCCCTTTGATAACCAGTGGCTTGCTTCCTTTAGAACTTTGTTCTAGGGCCGGCCCGGTGGTGCACTGCTACAGTGCGCCGCTTGGGAGTGTGGTGGCGCTCCCGCCGAGGGTTCGGATCCCACATACAGACCGGTTCCCACTCACTGGCTGAGCGAGGTGCAGACGCAACACCGAGGGTTGCGATCCTGTTGCCGGTCCCGGTCCAGTACGGGCGCGACACTGAGGGTTGCGATCCGTTGCCGGTCACGAAAAAAGACAAAAAGGAAAACAAAAAAAAAAAAGAACTTTGTTCTAATATCTTAGAAGAAAGGTCTTCCTTTATCATTCAATCAAAAATAACCCTCTTCTTCCCTTCACTCTTTATCCTCTTGCCTTGCTTTTTTTATTCCTCAGTTAAATATTTGTGGAATTAATTAATTAATGGATACTTTCTTGTACCTTTTGAATTTTGTGCATGTATTATCTATTCAAGAATATATTTTTAAAGAATAGAACAAGGGAAAATATAAATTTAAATAAAGCAACTTAGCTTTATTCTATAAGTTAGGCGATAAAATGTTTTGTCTCTGTTTTGGTATCTGTTTTGGAAAGCTTTTTCAGCTGATATCCTCAATGTGGAAGCAGAATTAATCCTTTCCCCTTTCCACTCCTTAAAAGACTGTTTATAATGCTAGTGTAGTACTTATTACATTGAACCAAGTCATCTGGCCCTTCCTCCTTCCACTTCTCACCTCCCTCAGTCTTGAAAATATTTTAGCCTTGATGCCTAAGTAAACGTTATTCCAAATAAATTGATATCCTGTCTTTGTTAGCCCAGTAAAAACATAATATAATTAAAGACTTCATAATAGCTTTCCATCATATTTTTATTCATTTATTAAGTAGTGTACATTTGTGTTTTAGAAAATATTTGATGCTAGGACAAATATGAATAAAACTCACTTCCTGCCTTTGAGGAAGGACTTGTTAAAGGAGGAATGTGGGTACTTAAATAAGGAGTGTACAATACCAAAGCATGTATACTTGAATAGAGGACGTTGCAAGGTTCTGTGGAAGCACAATATAGGGAGAGGCTGGAAAAAAGACTTTCCGTAAGAAGTGAGTTTGAACTGTGCACGTTAGAATAGTCTGCAAGGCTGAGAGTGGAGTAGGAGAGGAGGGAGCATTTCAGTAGAGAAAACTGTGTGGTCAAAGGCACAGCCATGAAAGATAGGGAGGGTAGGATTCCTCGTGGGAAATGCTTGGAGTTGTGACTAGAAAGGTTAGTTGGAGCCAGATTATATAGGTAGGTTGGCATATCATATAGAAGAGTGTGGACTTTGTCAAGATTAATTACAGATTTCTCACTTTGGAAAGATAATTCTTGTGGGAGTCGGGGAAATGGACTGAAAATACAGTGGTTGCAAAAGCACAATTAAGAATTTAGTTGAACAATCCATGCTAAGATGAAGGCCTAGA